GCCAAAAATCTATTTGTCCCGGGAATTTGCGACGAAAAAACTAATTGTCGATAAAGCTCCCTTTAGGGTACTTCCTGATTACAACATATGTATGTACGACGTACTTCTTAGAATCTTGCCAGGACCTAGAATATATCTTAATCGATGGAGGCGAGAGTTCTCAGTATAAAAAACAAAATCCCGGGAATTTCCCGGCAAAAACCCTATTTGTCTATAGATTATTTTCAAAGCTATAAACTATTAAACCATATAACAATGAAACTAGTACAGAAAAAACAACAATAGAAAAGATTGTGATTCAATTGATAAACACATGGACAAGCGTATAGACGGATAGATAGATGAATGGATGGACACAGTAGATGAGTCATCAAATCAACAAGTATATAAACGTATGCAAAATATCAAAAACTATAAAATTGAATGAAAATAAAGTGCGATTTTTATATAAAACGTGTTTAAATTGAAAAAACACACGCACATATACGGTGGTATTAGAGAGAATGGTAAAATATATAAAACCAGTTATAATATTGCTTCTTTCTTAAGTCGGCTAATAAACAGAGTGATACAAATTAAAAGAAACAAAATAATTTAAAATTGTAATAGAAATTGTTACTTTGGTACCGTAAAATCTATGGCAAAAGATAATTTTTAAACACTTTTATATTGCAGCGAGTAGGGCCTTAATAACCACGACAAAATTCTATATTATAATCGAAATGTTCTCGTCCTCTCTTGCATTAAAAGGAATCATAACCCTCGTCAGTTTACTAAGCTATACCAGAAGATCTGTAGATAAAGAATCGGCGTAATATATTAAATGGGACTTGTCCGCCCTTAAATATCTTGTAGCTTATCTCTATCATAATCTTCGGTATATCTCCAGAAGATCTAAACAAATTTGTTTGAAGTACTGCAAGGTTCATATGGAGACCTAAAGAATCGATAGTTTTCCGTATTTGGAGAGATCAGTTTATGAATTTAACTAAGAAATTTTAAGATTATCATAATAAGTCCACTAGGCTTCGGAAGTTTAAGCCATTTAACTGAAGATAATCTTTCTTTTTTTTATCTAAAAATCATCCAAATCAATAAAAGTAGGACAATATTTCCATGATAACTGATAACACATCTTCGTTAACAACACTCCCTGTTCCACTGTACCAAGTACAAGTTATAGAAATATAAACAAAACAAATGAAAAGATCATTCGTCATTAACAAATGGTTCAAAAAGGCAAATAAAATAAAAACTCTCAACGTACTACTATGAAAAAAAAAACTATATACTTCATTGTTGACACATAAATGAAGAAAGTCTTGTTTTTAAATATAATGTGTAATAGATGTGTTGTTTGCTGGTGGAGGTGGAACTGGAGATATGCTTCAAATTGCTAATAGTAACAGTATTGGAGTACTCTTTTTTATTAACGTTGTATTTAAAATGAATCATGGTTATTCAAATAAAATAACGTATAAACATAGTTTGTTGTTTTTCTGTTACCATATATAGTATGAATTTGAAAATTAGTTTGAGTATTAAAAAATTTCCAAGAAAGGTATTAAAATTTTTAAAAATTTTGTGGTGTGTTCTTCTAAGTATTTATTGTTTTTATTTATTTTGAATAATGTATGTAAACAAATATGATAAGACAAATTTTTATGTTATTGCTTTGATTCGTATAGGTACTGGGGTGTAATCACTCACCCAGTCCGTTAGTTTTAGGGTATTAAATTTCATTATTAAATTTATTTGATTGATTTAAATATAAAGAAGCTTAAAGGTGCTTACTTATGTTGTTTTATTTTCGATAACAAAACAATAGCACCTTTCTGTCCTCTATTTCGGAAAAAAAATAATTTTAAATCAATGAGAACCTAAGTCGTGGAGTACAAACATTATTCAGATATTCAGGCAACACCAACTCTCTACAAATCAGCAGCAGTTAGTTGCATGATAACTTGAAACAATACATTTCCGAATTTTAAACTCATTTAAAGGGTTACCTCTGATTAAGAGGATTTAATCAAAAGGAAACGCACATTAAAAGTAAATAAAAATATTAAGTTAGGTTGTAGAGACATCCATTTCGTTACCTCAAACGCCTATACCCCAACTACAAGATAACCCTGATCAATAACAAAACCAGACACCGGCAGAGTCAAAAAGTCGAAGTGCTTTATGTGATTGCCTGCCGTTTTGGCCTTATATTACGGTGTTACTTTTCCAACCTGATTAGACGAAATATCACCGCCCCTTTGTGCTTCTTACACGCCTCCCAAGTACAAGCACTTTGCTCGAGCTATCTAATCTCTGACAATTGCTGCTCCGTTGCTTAACATCATCTCGGATGTTCTTCATCACATCACTTCCATTTACAACCACGCAGATGGGATGACCTTTGTTGAGTCGGAAACCGCACCTAGAGATGCATTCGGTAGACCAAAACACCAATCCATCAAATAAGCCGAGGTCTTGTCCTTACTCGCATAGAAAAAAAAACTTTGGTAAATCTGGTATGAATAGTATAAACCCTAAACATATAAGATACCTATCATCCATCGGCATTCAACCCAGCAAATTTCTCATACATTCGATACATTTACTCTAAATGAGGTCCGCATATCCATTCCGTATCATATGCACTTAAAATCAACTCATTTCCAATGATTAGTCCCACAGTCACTCTTCTGTGGGGTATCTGTTGTCTCGGCAACAGCACCGAACTTATCCCGCATTATAGACTTTACCGCACATTAGTCTTTTTAACGATATTCGCTTCACACGTGCACCCTGAAGGGACCTTTCCATTAACCGTTACAAGACAAAGTCCGAAACTCTGCCCTGATTGCTACCGGTTCCTGAGGTACCAGATTGTGCGGTTCTCTAGCTTGATCGCATGTCAAACCATTCTAAGGAAAGGCCGAGGATACATTTGATCAACACCAGTTAATAGTCCCGGCAGACTAGATGTACTGGTAGCACCTTTTTCCGCCGGGATTGCAAAAACAACAAGATGAGGGAAGAGGCATAGACAATCTAAGATAGTTTCCACTTCTTCCTTCTTATATGAAATATATAATCCCCCAGTACGCCTATCATTTAATGTCCTGCCATCACCATTCCACCCATAAGAATCCCAGTATGGCAAACAATCGGGGATTATCATAAAGTAGTTAGTTTTGATAGCGGACATGTGATCAAGAACGATAATCTAGTCTAAGCTGATCCATGAAGAATAAACTAATGTATCAAATGTAGGCGATATCCCAATTTGAAAGATTTAGTACCCTGAGCAGTTCCAGGTTTAAATGGTTTGTTCTGTGGTCAAGATAAGTTCGATATTCGCAAACGAGTCTTTATGTCTAGAAGATTTAGATATTTCCACTATATATCCCATAGTTTCTCATCCAATTAATGGAGCATATGGTTCACCCTCATTATCTGCCTTTTCAAGACTTGGATTTATTTATGACTTGGATTTTGGATTTATTGGATTGAATGCTCAGGCCATTGTCTTGAATGGCCTTATATTGAATCGTTTCTGAGAAAGGAGAGCATTAACAAATACTTACGATAAAATACCAGTCAGTAGACTGGGATTTAAATTTTACAATTCTTGGAATAAAAGTCCTTCTAATAAGGAGAAGGCCTGACGTTGTTCTTACATATATTAAATCGTTTTTGAGAAAGTAGAGTGGGAGATCAGTAAAAGATACTGACGAGTCAGCAGACTGGGATATCAATTTTACAATTCTTGGACTTATGTTTCAAGTCCTTCTAATGAGGAGAAGGGGATTCCTCTTATGGCTGAAGTCTCGACCTGAATGATCGAGTAAACTGAAGTATATACATAATTTTCTATGACCTTTTTAAGAATTTGATCCATTTCAGCGTGTCCTCCTCAAAATAGAATAGCTCAGCCCATTCGTTGTCCTTATAACGAATAGTTTTTCGTAAAGTAGATTGTTTCCCAAAATAGACTAGGATTAAAAATTTTATAATTTCAAGCCCTCCTTATAATGTTCTTGCTTTAATATTCGGATACGACACGTTAAGCTTTTCCATGATTAACACCAAGACCACGGGTTAGTACTTCATCTGAGTCTATGAAGAAATTTGAAGATAGAACAAGCAGTTTGCTCGAAACCGTCATTGGATGTAGACTATAGTTTTGCAAATCATAGAATCAAATTCCTATAATAGAGAAAGAATGGTGGGATTCCATAGGAGAGAATCTAACTGAGATTCTGTTGTCACTTTGCTATCCTTATAGCCACTTCTAAGTTTGTAATTATCTTCAGAAAGGGTTTTTTTTAACGGACCAAAATTAATTAATATTGCAAAGTTTACTATTGCAAAGTCAAGTAAGAAAACATTTGGTAAACTTTAGTTAAGTATTTAGTGAAAAAACCGACTCATAGTAACCACTAAGAGAATTATGGCCATTTTTTTTCAGGCTGGTTTTAACATTCTTTAAATTCCTTAAAAAGATAATCGAAAATTAAAATTTACTAAAATAATAGTGTGGCATGAGTATCCAATCTAATCCCTTTTTTGTCATAAGTTTTGTACACACATTTAAAAAAAATCGCAATAGTTTTGTAATATTTTCTTAAAAGAAACAAAATATAGCATTTTTATCTTATCAATTAAAAACAATTCTATACCAACAAAAGGTCATTAGCAAATATTGGCTTATTTGCCAAGAAAAAAAACTTATCATATAAAAGATAACAAAAAACGACGAAAAACGGTTAAAAATTGTTTTTTGTACTTTTTTTATCGCAGTTCCAAGAGTTCATGTTCTTAATACCACTTCTTAAAAGAATTTTTGAACGTCATTATTTTAAAAATAAAATATGTAGTAAGTAAGGGAACTTAACGAATATGATTATAACAATTAGGGGAAAATAAAAAATTATATTTTTGAATCAACTTTTAATTAGTTTTCTTCAAGAGAAATATATTATGTATCGTAAAGTTGTAAAACTTACCTTGCAACATAGATCTATAGGCGGTATCTGTTATAGCAAACACATGGGGAGGTACTTCGTGTCTTTTTATACCCTTATACCGTTCCATAATCTTTTCAGTGTAAATTGGTAACTTTTTATAGGGATTAACAACAACGCAGAAAAGACCGGAATATGTCTGTAAATAGAGAAAAAAGAGAGTAAAATTAACAACAAATTATTAATGTGAGAAGTTGTGTAAAAATGCTGTAAATAATATTTATGCACGAATGAATATTATGGTGAAAATAAAATGAAAACAACGGGAAGTCCAATTAGCTATAGAATGTATTCTTGTAATTTTTTTAAAGAAATATAAAAATAATCAAAATTTAATAAGAAAAGTACTAATTAATAATTCCAAAATATTTAATCGTAAAAATAAATGAAATAGCGATCGATCGTATAATCGGAAATGGGTTTAAGTCGCAAATTAATCAGCTAGAACTTCAAAACCCTATGATAAAACTAAAATACTTGCGATTTAATTCATAATAAATGTTCATAATAAAATTAGTCATTAAAATTGGATATTGCACTATATATCCTAGATTGGACTTTTAAAAGATCAGATCAAGAATGATATATACTATATAAGATCTAAAGAAATACACCTTAGCCGGTATATAGCTTGTTGTGCGCAACATTACATGGCCAATGTTGGAGGAAAAAACACTATACATTGCTTTATGAAGTTAGAAAATCAGTTTCCTGGGCGTAGTCCCGATTTCCCATCTGTGTTCCTGAGGGATGTAATATCTGGAATAACATGGCTACCAAGATTGTTGGCTATAATTATGGCAAAAGTCTGGCAATGACAAAGAAATTGTTCAGAAGTCCACTCTACATTTACCTGAATCCGTTCTTCCAATTTTGTATAGTTATTACAGTAATCCTGTGTGTCCACTCAGAATACGGTACCATCATACTAAACGTTGGACTTGAACATGAAAGGACAATGTAATAGTTTCAAAACATGGATAGAGTTCAACCAAATAACTGGGTTTTGTTTAAGACAGAATTTGAGTTCCGGCCAATATTTGGTTTAGGAGGTGACGAACTTTTAAAGGACCTACAATAGATCTTATATTTGAGATTTAATTTCACATTATGAGACTAAAATAGGTTTTTGTCTAAATAGGACTGTGACTTTAAAATTGGCTTATGATTGATCTTAGAATCCATAATTGGACTTTTAAAGAACCACCGATCGAATCATAATTTCCATTTCAAACACTTATGAATAGATTTCAGAATTAGGAGAACTTTGCGAAGCAAAATTTGGACTACATAATGACCCATGATTAAATTTAAAATTTTTAAAAGATTTTGGTTTAGAATTGTAACTTAAATTTGATCTTGAAAGTGACCTATGATAGAATCCAAAATTGGACTTTTAAAGAACAGCTGATTGAATTTAAATTTCGATTTCAAATCAATCTACGATTAAAATTATAATTTAACTAAATAAAACCTTATGAATAGACCTAAGAATTTATTCAAAATTGGTCATTAGGAGAACTGCGATTAAGGCAAAATTTCGGAATAACTAAAGGTTTATGATTGAACTTCAAGCATTTGGAAGATTTTTGAGTTTCCCTAACAAGCTGCTAATTTAGCTTTAGAAGAAATTTTATATAAGAACATTTTAATATTAAGAAGTTTACAAAGAATTTACTTCCCTTACGTTTAAAAACACTTAGTTCAGAAGTGGGTACAGTTCCACCATTTGAAAAGGGAAAATTTATATGTTTTTGTAATTTTTACTGAATTTTCTTTTCATTTTCATTCTTTTATGTTTTAAACAGTTTTGGTTTGGAGAAGCAAAATTCCTACTCCCCGTGGATCCACGCCTCACTTAATTGCACAACTCAGATCTCTTCAGAAAGAATATCTACTCAATAATTTGTTTATAAAGCCTTCTTTTTTTAAAGTTCTGATATCAGTCATTATCTCCCAGATGAAGAGCATTTTAAAGCTAAATTTGGGATTTTAAATAGTGTGAACGCAGCATTAACATGGTTTTGACAGTTTTTAAGCAAAATTTTTTTATGTTTTAAACAGTTTTGGTTTGGAGAAGCAAAATTCCTACTCCCCGTGGATCCACGCCTCACTTAATTGCACAACTCAGATCTCTTCAGAAAGAATATCTACTCAATAATTTGTTTATAAAGCCTTCTTTTTTTAAAGTTCTGATATCAGTCATTATCTCCCAGATGAAGAGCATTTTAAAGCTAAATTTGGGATTTTAAATAGTGTGAACGCAGCATTAACATGGTTTTGACAGTTTTTAAGCAAAATTTTTAATATTTGGCAACTTTTTTACAAAATAATATAAAATAATTGTGAATATGCCGCAATACTAAATAATTGCATCATACAGAATATATATATACAACAAAACATATAAATATGTACATACATATATATATTTCCTCGAATATTTTTATATGCGTAATTATCAGGGCAAACGATTGTGTTTGAATTAGATTTTGTGTAAAACTTATTTTTTCAGACATTTAATTTTTCAAACTAAATAAAACTTAATGTATTCGTAAAAGAAATAGAGCGTGGTGCCAAACATGGTTTGAAAATAAAATATCAGAAAAAAAAATACTTATACAAAAAAATAAACATTTAGGCAAATTAAACATTAAATACAAAAGAATCACATAAAAAATACATACATATGTATACAAGTTAAAAAATAACCAGCAATATGCTAACAATATGTTGTATTTAACCATGACTTACAAGAATCATATTTATAGTATAAGGCTTGCTACTACTGCTCATCGCTTTTTCCCCCCTTAAATGAATCATAATTTTATGACAATAATTTTTTATATAAACATTTTCATATCACCTTTTAGGAAATTTTTTTTGTTTATATTAAAATTTTAAGAAACAAAATTTAATGCTAAAGCAATAAAGGTGAAGTCAGTTAAACAAAATAATATTTGTTTATGTTTGCGGTGACAAATTCATATTCGATTTAATGTTTAATAAAATAAAAACTTCAATGGACAATAAACGTGATTATGAAGTGTTTTCACATAATGCATATATAAAGTTTTTTATTGTTACACAAAAATATCACGTAATATGATTAATTACTTATTTCGGAAACCAGCTTATGATGATTTCATATAAAATGCATTTCGATCCTTAACCCTGCAGAGGGTAAATTTATTATACTGGCTATTTATTGCATTTATGTATATTTGAGTGTAAATTTTTGAATTTCGTTAATTATGTCAAGAATTTTGATAAAAATGCTTCATATAATACTTTTAAGCTTTTGATTAATCATCTTTTTGGAAATGCCATTATATATACATATCGGGAACGAACGAACGCAAAGCAAACAAACATTTTGTTCGCAAGATATCTGGTCCATTCCTAAAACTGTCTTTAACTTGACTATAGACTTGACTATAGGCTAGACTATAGACTAGACTATAGACTAGACTATAGACTAGACTATAGACTAGACTATAGACTAGACTATAGACTAGACTATAGACTAGACTATAGACTAGACTATAGACTAGACTATAGACTAGACTATAGACTAGACTATAGACTAGACTATAGACTAGAATATAGACTAGACTATAGATTAGACTACAGATTAGACTATAGACTATATACTAGACTATAGACTGAACTATAGACTAGACTATAGAATAGACTATAGAATAGACTATAGAATAGACTATAGACTAGACTATAGACTAGACTATAGACTAGACTATAGACTAGACTATAGACTAGACTATAGACTAGACTATAGACTAGACTATAGACTAGACTATAGACTAGACTATAGACTAGACTATAGACTAGACTATAGACTAGACTATAGACTAGACTATAGACTAGACTATAGACTAGACTATAGACTAGACTATAGACTAGACTATAGACTAGACTATAGACTAGACTATAGACTAGACTATAATACTATAGACTAGACTATAGACTAGACTATAGACTAGACTATAGACTAGACTATAGACTAGACTATAGACTAGACTATAGACTAGACTATAGACTAGACTATAGACTAGACTATAGACTAGACTATAGACTAGACTATAGACTAGACTATAGACTAGACTATAGACTAGACTATAGACTAGACTATAGACTAGACTATAGACTAGACTATAGACTAGACTATAGACTAGACTATAGACTAGACTATAGACTAGACTATAGACTAGACTATAGACTAGACTATAGACTAGACTATAGACTAGACTATAGACTAGACTATAGACTAGACTATAGACTAGACTATAGACTAGACTATAGACTAGACTATAGACTAGACTATAGACTAGACTATAGACTAGACTATAGACTAGACTATAGACTAGACTATAGACTAGACTATAGACTAGACTATAGACTAGACTATAGACTAGACTATAGACTAGACATAGACTAGACTATAGACTAGACTATAGACTAGACTATAGACTAGACTATAGACTAGACTATAGACTAGACTATAGACTAGACTATAGACTAGACTATAGACTAGACTATAGACTAGACTATAGACTAGACTATAGACTAGACTATAGACTAGACTATAGACTAGACTATAGACTAGACTATAGACTAGACTATAGACTAGACTATAGACTAGACTATAGACTAGACTATAGACTAGACTATAGACTAGACTATAGACTAGACTATAGACTAGACTATAGACTAGACTATAGACTAGACTATAGACTAGACTATAGACTAGACTATAGACTAGACTATAGACTAGACTATAGACTAGACTATAGACTAGACTATAGACTAGACTATAGACTAGACTATAGACTAGACTATAGACTAGACTATAGACTAGACTATAGACTAGACTATAGACTAGACTATAGACTAGACTATAGACTAGACTATAGACTAGACTATAGACTAGACTATAGACTAGACTATAGACTAGACTATAGACTAGACTATAGACTAGACTATAGACTAGACTATAGACTAGACTATAGACTAGACTATAGACTAGACTATAGACTAGACTATAGACTAGACTATAGAGTAGACTATAGACTAGACTATAGACTAGACTATAGACTAGACTATAGATTAGACTATAGACTA